CCCCCCCCCCCCAAAAAAAAAAAAACACTTTGGAAAAAGTACTGAATATAGCAAAAGAAAAAGCTGTGAAATGTAACCTATCTGCGAGCATATACTGCCTTTCAAATACCCAGCTGCTGCTGTTCTGAAGGCCAGACAAGGAATAATGGATGGAAACGGACCAAGGAAAGATTCAACCTAGAAACAAGGAGGAACTTGCTGACAGAACAATCAACCAATGGAACAGAAGTTGCCTTCGGAAGTTCTGGGAGCTTCATCACTTGAGACTTTCAAGAAGAGATTGGACTGCCGTTTGTCAGAAATGGTGTAGGCAGGATCTCCTGCTTGGGTGGAGGGTTGGACTAGATGACCTATAAGGTCCCTTCCAACTCTGTTAATCTGTTAAATCTGTTCTTTACACACGAGGAAGGGTCTGGCAAGGCAGAGTTTGCTCTGCGTGCAGATTTACACCTTCTGTGCCTTGTTTCTATAGACGAATCTGCGTGTTGCCCCCATTGCAATGCCCATAAAAATCCCCCAACCCTTCTAGTGCATTCCACCCGAAGGTCCCTAACCAGAGGCAGCCCCCTCATCCACTCCCCTCATTGTTTGGCTGACTCCCCCCAGCCTTCCCGCTGCATCAGATTACAGCTCCTTCCCATCGCTCCAAGTTCCATATTTTGGCTGGGAATCATGGACAGTGGAGTCCCTCCTGCTCTGGGCATTATAGAACAGGTATTCCCTCGGGGATCATGATGGTAGGGAGAAGATTCTATACTGTCACCTTTCCGATGAAGCAAACCAATGAAAATAAGTCATCTGATTAAACTTTCCCCACCCAAAATGAATAATGGTAATGTAATTGCCCAGGTACGTTTACATAGAATAGAATTCTTTATTGGCCAAGTGTGATTGGACGCACAAAGAATTTGTCTTTGATGCCTATGCTCTCAGTGTTCATAAAGAAAAATAAAATAGAATACATTCATCAAGAATTATAAGATAAAAGACTTAGTGATAGTCATATATTAGGATGTTTCTCAATCTCAGCAACTTTTTAAGATTTTAAGGAACCAGGAGCACCACTCAGGTGACCCTGAGGACCCAGGTAAATCTCCAAGTGGCCTCAACGACTCTCTAAAAGGATGCAAATGACCAGCTGTCTGCAAGGAATATAAATCTTTCCATTCCCCACTATCCNGCAATAGCAGTTAGACTTATATACCGCTTCATAGGGCTTTCAGCCCTCTCTAAGCGGTTTACAGAGTCAGCAAATTGCCCCCAACAACAATCCGGATCCTCATTTTACCCACCTCGGAAGGATGGAAGGCTGAGTCAACCCTGAGCAGATGAGATTTGAACTGCAGGACTACAGTCAGCGGTAGTAGCCTGCAGTGCTGCATTTAACCACTGCGCCACCTCGGCTCTCAAACTGGCAGATGTTCCACTCCTTCACTCAGGAGCAGTCTGGGGCTCCTTACAGTACTAAACGTCGGTACCTCACCAAAATGTCTGTATCTTCCAGTTATGGAACTGCTTCTGGACTCAAGGCGGTGGGAGCGATATTCCTTTATATGTTTCAATCGCCAACCACCACTGAGCCAATTTCTCCCGCACAGCCTGATCACACCGGTATCCAGCTAGTCAGTAATATTACTGTTGGAAGAAATGTCCTTCTGGGTTCAGTTCCAAGTGGGGGAAAAGACACCAGAAACATGGAGGCTGCTTGGAAAGATGGTTTAATGATGGACAGGATCACGTGGCTTGAGCTCCTGAACAGAAAACGGGGGGGTCACATGCTTCCAGATGTTGGGTGAAGAAGAAAAGAGAGAGCGAGATGCCAAAAGTCCCTGGATTTATGTCCTCTCTGGACTTTTGAACCTGAGCTTGTATTCTGATTGGTCGTCAGACTTCCATGGGACCATGCAGGAGCAAATCTGTAGACTGTCTTGAGTTCAAGTTTGGTTGGGCATTGCTTCTTCTCAAGTGCCTTGTGATGAGATAGGTAAAGGGCTAATACTATCATACCTTAATCCCATCAGGAGCTGAAGGGGGAGAACTTTGTTATGCAGAATAGACTTGCCCAGGCTTTTTTAATGGCCCATTGACAAAGGTGGGGGTTATTAAGAGTGAGTCTGCTTCCTGCCTAAAAACATGCCTCTCCATTTCTTATCCAGGGAAATATAATATTCTGCCTTTTCAATATTTCTCAGGATATTTCATTTTTCTAGAAGAGGGGTAACTTCCTACATTACAATTACATTTTTCAATCTTAGAAACGTTACCTCATTTCTAAATAAACAGTGGCCTTTTGAGTGCATATCAGGGACCCCCAGAGACTTTTTATATGCGACTCCATCTTGTATTCACTATATAAATAACCTACCTTTGAATTTGTAAATAGAGTACAGGTAGCCCTCGACTTACAAACCACAGTTGAGGCCAAACCTTGTTGCTAAGTGAGACAGTGTTTAAGGGAATTTTGTGACCTTTCTTGCCATTGTTGATAAGTGAATCACTCCAGTTGTTAAGTTAGTATTACAGTCATTAAGTGAATCTGGCTTTCCCATTGACTGTGCTTGTCAGAAGGACACAAAAGGTCATATGACCCAGGACACTGCAACCGTCATAAATATGAGTCAGTTGCCATGCGTCCAAATTTTGATCACGTGACCATGCTGCAATGGTTGGAAGTGTGAAAAATGGTCATGTCACCTCTTTCAGTGCCATTATAATTTTGGTCACTATGCAAATTGTTGTAAGCCGAGGACTATCTTGAATCGTTTCATATTAGCTCATTGAGAATTTAATTGTGATGGGCTTTTTAATATTTCTGCCATATGC